GGCTTGTACATGTGATAAGGTAATATCATCTTCATCCAAACTCATCCCCATAATGTTTAATGATTATAAAAGTGTTTAATCAATATTTTCATGCTTAAGACTTAACCTAATATGATAAAGATAATATTTTTAATGATAAATCTTAACCCAATTCTAGATCATTAGTTTTTCCTAATTGTTTATGATAGTAATATGATCATGACCATTAGGGGTGATTAAATTTTTTTAAACTTGATAATTATGTTTAACTCGTATGTTAACCCTAATTTGTTGTCTAATTGAATTATAAAGAGGTTTAGTTTATTATTCATCATAGACTGCAGAAAACTGTTGCATGTGTATAAGATTTAACTGGATATTTAAGATACCATATAAACTCCAAACTGAACAAAACTAGTGTCAAATGAAAGCTATGTGAACCTATTTTCTAAAACGAAAAACCATTCTAAGAAAGAGTTTTTATAAAGAAAGATATACTTAATTTACTAATGATATGTTCTGCAGAAAACTACAGATATGTTGATTTGAAATAATTGATATATTACGTGAATGTTTCTTTGAGTTTTCTTATTAATTAATCATTCTTAAACCCTAGGTTTATGATACCTATGTAAGATAAACATGTTTAAATAAATTTTTCCTCTGTTCATGAGTAGTTTTTATCATATGTTGATAATCACTTTGTTAACATATGAGATAATTAAAGAAATTTTTTAAATAGGATGTTAAACCCTAATTTGGAAAATATAATAATTTAATTTGATGATTCAGATAATTTTAGTTGCATATGCCAAGTATAAAATCTCGTTTTAACGTTATGATATGTACAATTGACGTAAGCACTGTTTGTGCACGAAAGAATGTGTGTCTTGACAGAGTAGTCGACTACTAAGCTTAGTAGTCGGCTACTCGTGCCCAGTTGAGTATAACAGAAACTGTGTGTTTGCAGAGTAGTCGACTAATGTTCTTAATAGTTGACTACTAATACTGATATATGTTATTACAGAGTCTGGATGGACTCAGTGTAGTCAACTACTAAGCTTAGTAGTCAACTACTAAGACTGTTGCCTGAATTTTTGTTTTGCATCTGTTTGAGATATGTTTGCGGGTTTCTAGCCGCACTTCTTTATACGTAAATTCACGAATAGTGTAGTAGCACACACATGGGTATGCTGACAGAAATTATGATGGGTTTTGACCCGATTACTTTGAGAAAGAGTTTAGTACATATTATACACACACCTTCTAGATATCGTTGATGAGCTCAATTCGGTACTACGGGGGTAGTGCGTCGATATTCTATTTGTACAGACTATTAAGTCGGGTTTAGGATGCTTTATCTAGCAGTCCATCCCGCACTAGGATGCGATGAGGCTTGTGAGTCGTATTCCTAGGATGCCTACTTGGTAGTCCGTCCCTCACTCGTGTTACGTACAGAGATGCGATGAGACTAATGAGCCATGTACACTACCGACCAGGTAGTCTGTCCCACATGATGATGCGATGAATCAAAATCTTACACGGAGTTGCATTGAGATAGTTAAATGATAGCCCAAGTCATTGGCGGATGCCGGTTATGTTTTTGACTCACTACTGAAATATATGACCCAGAGTACTTTGCATTTGAAAGTACACGGGATTGTGCCAGTATTCATTCTATCTTCCCAGTGATAGTGGAAGATATTATGAATACGATATGTTGATGTCTTTACTTTCTTTTACTACTTTTCTTTATTTTCTTAGTTAGGATCAATAATTAGTGATTCATAATTTGAGACATATGATATATACATGAGGGTTTCCATGTTTGGATTATTTCGCTCGACGTACCAGTCTCGTGTTGTGGATTTCTAATTATTGATTTTATTTAGATGCTCGACGTACCAGTCTCGTGTTGTGGATTTCTAATTATTGATTTTATTTAGATTGTTTATCTTTAGTTCGGTATTAATGTTTAGATGTTTACAATTCGGGACATATGGTATATACATGAGGGTTTTCTTGTTTGGATTATTTCGCTTGACGTATTACGTCTCGTATTGTAGGTGTCTAAATATTAATTCCATTAGATACAGGAGAAAATGATCTAGGTAGACTATGCTTAATAGATAGAGCCTCCACTCTATCTAGCAGCTTTTCTCCTAGGGGCGGATGGAGGTGATCTTGCTATAGCGCTCTGACGCTCTTGTTATTATTCCTTTTTTTTTAATATTCTTTCAGGTAATTCGAAGTACCGAAGAATCGTAGGATGACGAAGTTCTTGCATAATCGTCGTCACATGAGATTTATTAAAGGCTCAATCGTAGTTTTATATTTTTGTTCAGACCGTAGAGTTTATTTTATAGTATAAAGGCGGTATGTCTTAGTACGATTTTCAGTTATTTCTTGTCGAGACATATTTATTCATTTTTGATATCAGATGTATTCCAGGTTGTTCATTGAGACATGATTTATTTATGAGATACTTCTTTCTATATTATGTCTATTGTAGTTGTTTCCTTTCTTTTGTCTGTTTTATACATGCACTTTATTTTAATTCGACTAGAAGATATTGTTATGATTGGTAAAACTTGTTGTTATATAGTGTGGGTGCATGGCAGGTTTGACATCTCTAGGTTCATCTTGGATTGCAGCCATGTATGAAAATAGGGGCGTCACAGTCGTACATCTTGAATGGTGCATATTGTGCCATCAAACATTTTAATTTTAATAGTACCAATGCCAAAAAAATTCTAAGGCATGATCATTGCTCATAAATACAGATCCTCTTAAGATAGGTTCGTATTTGTGGAACTATTCTCTCGGAGAGGTCATGCGTTAGGAAGCTGCTGAGTCTGGAAGCCAGATATCAGCAAACTTCTTTCTACCTTCATCAATAGTGGTTGTTTCACTGTATAAAATTTCACCATCATTTTATGTGCTAACTAAGAATCCATAAGGTGTTGATAGCTCTGAAGACTTTTTATCACCACTCTTCTTATTGTGCCAACACTCTGATTTCATGTGCCTCCTTTTACCACAGGTATAACATTTGATATTCTTCTTACTTCTTGATTTTGATCTACCCTGGGTATGATTCTCACTGGAGCCATGTTCCATTGATCTTTCTCTCATCACTGATAAGACATCTGCTTGTTGCGAACTTGCCTGACTGTTTTCTTTGTTCTTGCGCCAATTTTCTTCCTCGAGAATGGCTGCTGCAATATCGTCGAAGACTAGATAGTCCGTAAGGACGTTATTTGTTAGATTAACCTCTGCACATTCATTCACTACACCGATTGTATGCCCTAACATTGTGATTTTGTATAACAGTGTATTTAAGGTGTTGATGTGGTCAGTCATCAATGTAGATTCCGCCATTCTTAGAGTGTAAAGTCTTCTTTTTAAAAAGATTTTATTGTGCAGGGATTTTGCCTTATATAGCTTTGCTAGAGTATCACAGATCTTATTTGTTGTCTTCTTATTATCTATGATAGAGATTGGCAATATCATTTTCGTCCATCTCATTCTACTTCTTATTTCTATGATGTCGTCCGGCCTTGCACCGATGGCCGCTAGAAAATTATCTTTTCTCAAGATAGCCTTTGTCTTTAACTTTTACAGTGAAAAATTACTCCCGCTGAATTTCTTAATCTTGAACTTCGCCACTATTGCTTCTACGACGAATGGTAACTTCTACTATTTCATGTGAACAATAATCGTATTTGTGAATAGTAATTGTACTTATGAATAGTGATTGTACTCATGCATAGTACCTAGTGCCTTCAAAGGGTAACAGATAATCTAACTTATTTTCTGATATGGAGGATTCACTTTTAGTGGCAGCCTCAGAGCATACGATAAGCAGATACACGCACCCTAAAATAGGCTCTGATACCACTTGTTGGGACAAACGCTAGCCCAATAGAGCAGGGTCCCAGTGAAAAGTAGAGCGAAAGTAGTGAAATGAACACATGTTTACTTCGAAAACCCCTTGAATGAATTTGTCGTAAAAACCACGGGTAATGATAGAAGAATTCACTATGAGGAATTTTAGGAGTTTACAATCTCTCTCTTTACAAGGAGAAACTCTATCTTTATTTTTCTCCCACTCTCCTATTTGTGGAGATTGGAATTGTTATTGGGATGGTTTTTTCCTAAAGAATTTTGGGCCTTCTTATAACAGCTGAGAAAATATTATTTATAATTTTTATAATATTTTGTTTACTGTGCCAACCTTTCGCTGGCCGCTTTACACTTTCTGTGCCATTAAATTTTACGGGGTCCGCCATTTTTTTCAATTGTCAAAAAATACGCCTGACAAAACCTAGGTTAATCTGATATCATGTTAAAGACCGTATCACTATACAAAAACTCTAAAATTATGGTGTTGATTGATGAATTTAATTAGCAGTCTCGCACCATGCTCAAAGTTGTGCTAGAATTCTTACTCAAATTTCAGCACGAAAAAGAAATGCTCAATGATAAACAAAATTCAGAAAAATACAAAATCGGCAGGTATCTTTGGATACATAGATTACCGTTGGAGGTTAAGTAGACTTGAAACATATATGTGATAACTCACCAAGTTACACATATAGCCTCCTTAAAACTAAAATGAAATATAGAAATTTTCATACAAATACTTCATTATATATTCCCACATAACAAAATAACCTTTAAATGATGATACTACTATCTAAAAAATAAACTTTGTAATTTACAATTTCTTAATTTTGTTTTTAAGTAGACCACTTGATCTTAAACTCTATTAGAACTGATCTAACTCCCAGTTAACATTAATCAAGTCCTCCTCCTCATCAAACAGCCAAGTCTCAAACAACTCCAGTTGCATCTTCCCCTGCTCTGTGCTCCCCTTGATCTCTTCCGACATCTCCGGCGTCGCAGAATCAAAAAAGGCCACCAAGTCCACCGGATTGCTGGTGGAGTGCTGAGTGGAGCAAGAGTTAGTACTGTTAGCCTCATTTTTGACTGCTGGTGAATTTCTCTTCCAGTTCTGTAGCAACCTGGAAATATTCACAGTGCTCGACGCATAAGTAGTCATCGATGACGTTGAGACTGAGTTTAACAAGGAATCGGTGGTTGGTTTGAGTTCAATCGTGGGTTCAGGCTTGTGTAAGGACAATGCTGCATGTAGAGCTTGCTTAGCCTTTTGAATGTCAGTTTGCAGTCTACTCTCCCATAGCCCTTTGGAGTTTTTCTGTTGGTGATTGCTTGAATTATTGTCATGTCTGGTACTCTCATGTTTCTTGAGCTTTTTCTTGAGATGGGTGTTCCAATAGTTCTTGATGTCATTGTCAGTTCTCTCTGGGAGGTATGAAGCAATAGCTGCCCATCTTCAAATATGTGAAATTAATTAGTGATTTTAGGAATAATTATAAGAGAGGATGCAAAGGGGAATTTAGTGGAGGAGAAGTGATTATTTTTAGTATTTGATTAATTACCTATTGCCAAGTAGAGCTTGGAGATGGATGATGAGCTTCTCCTCTTGCGCTGTGAAGTTGCCACGCTTGATCCCTGGCTTCAGGTAGTTTGTCCATCTCAGCCTGCAGCTCTTGCTGCATCTCATCAGTCCTGATCAAGACAAATTGAAGAAAAAAATGTTAGAATTTTTATTTTTTGACATTCAGGAAAAAAAAGATTTGGATCTAGCAGTAGAATAAATACTATCCTAAATTCAGTGATTCGATTGTAAAAAGCAGATCAATTCACCTAAGAACGGAACCTGGAGACCCTTGTTGCATCTTGAGCTCTAGGTCACTATGCATGATGTACTTACAAAGGGAAGCTTACAAATACCTAATTTAAAATTTAAACACAAAGGAATTAAAAATTGCAATGCTGAAAATAACTTTCTAGCAAGTGGGAAAAGACAACAAAATTACAAAAGAAGGTATAGCTTTCAGATCTAAACTATGAAGATCACTATTGTGGGATCCAAACCCTTAATTAGTGGTAAACTAGTTACTTGTCTTTGCGCAAATATAAACTTTGTGTTAAAGCTAGAGAAACACAACTATTCCGAGATAAAATTATAGCTTTTCTTAGAGACAGAAACAATATAGATAGATATTTCTTAGAGACAGAAACAATATAGATAGATAATTGATGCACTCACCAGTGTTGGTAGGAATAACCCTCCAATTGCCAGGACCATGTTCTCGGATGTAGGAAACCAAGATTATATCCTCTTCAGGAGTCCAAGGTCCTTTCTTCACTCCTACTTTATTACCACATGGAGGGCTCCCCATCTCACCCCTTCTCTTATTTATTGCTAATTGATCTTCTCCTCCTCGTCCTCCTTCTTGATCTAGAGAGACTATAGAAGTATGTTAAATGAATTTGAGGATTTTTCTTTTTTTCTCTAGTTCTTCTATATTAATCCCCCTCCCTCTAAGAGATGGCAAAGTCAAGGGTCCAAGGGCTCTTGGCTCCCATTCATATATACACAAAATAAGTGCTGACCCGATCCAGGGTTAGCAATGTCTTTGTCTCGGTTTATAACATTAATTGTGTTGCAAAGAGATGTTTACTTTGATTATTGAATATGTGCTAAAGTTATTATTCAGACGGTCACAAGATAGGCGAAGCTTAATACTGCTTGATCTTGAACAAGACGTGCGTGCTATGCTGACTTCTCTACAATCAACTAAAGTTTCTCACATCTACAAAGAAGGCAACATAGCTCCTAATCTCGTGATAAATTTTAGGGAAAAATGCTTCTAGCCCCAAAAACATAAGAAAACGTGCTCCCCCCCCCCCCCCTAAAGTGCTCCGCGATTTTCTTCCAGCCCCCAAAACGAATCCCCAGGCGGAACTCCGTTTAAACCCCTCACGAAATGCCAAAATACCATTCTGTTTAAAATTCCCCGTTATGAGTTACCTCCACGTCCGTACGCTGTCATCTCTCTTCTGTAAGCAAACTGACTCCAGAAACTCATTTCAAAACCCTAGCCCTAAATCAACCGACTCCAACGCAAACCGAATCAAAGCAAAGGGATTAAAATGGACGGTGATTCAACTCCCAAAGCAAGCCTCCATGCTGACCACAGCGAAAACGATGATGCCCAGCAGTTCGAAATCTCAGAAAGAGCCCAGACAACTGTAGTGCGTACTGAATCTGATGCTGAAGTTGTGATTACTAATGTTCTAGAGGACATCACAACCAACCATTCTCAACCCAGAAATCCGCCTCAAAATTTAAGTGTAGGCCCCCGCGAAGGTCTAGAGGCCAGTACCGGCACCACCGACGCGTCCAACGATGCCACTAGAGCGCTCCTTCGACTACAGAGAGGAGAAAAAGAGAAGCACATGGCAGCACCCAAAAGGTAAATTTTACCACAAGTTATGTTATTAAGGTTATGGTTTTATTGATAATTCTCCTAGTCTGGTGGGAAGGTCCAAAATTACTGGTGTCTATTAGCTGTTGAGGTTACTGTTAACATGCAAGATCCATGCTTTTATTGTTGAGGTTGTTGTTTGGTTGTTGAGGTTAGGCTTTGGTTGTTAAGATTATGGGCTTATTGTTAAGGTTGTTGGTTTCTCTACAAAGTTTACAGCATAGTTGTTATGTTTACTGATTATTTTAAAAAATGTTTATGTCTTGTGTTTTTGTTATGTAGAAAAAGGACAAAGCCAACTATTACGTTGCAGCCCACTGCCAGCTTCAGTACCTATCATGACTTCATACGGAGTTTGGTACAGCATATGGAGCCAAGGCACTTTGCAGCCTATGAAGATAGTGTATGCAAGGACCATGAATTTTGATACTAGTTAAAATAATTTTCTAGTATTTTAAAATATTTAATTATGATTTTTAAAAGAGTATTTATATTTTTTTCGAATTTCTACAATTTTCTATGATTTAAAGTCTAAGTTTTATATTTATTTAAATGATTTAAATATTTATAAATTTATTTAGTACAGTAAAAATTTCTAGAATTAACCCATTTTGTTATCGATACTATTACGTATCATTTTAAATAATACGTTGTATTATTAATATTATTTCGTATAATATTGTATTATTAATATTGTGTATTATTAATTACGTATTATGTGTACGATTTATTGTATTATTACTAATATTGTGTATTAACTGTTGTATTAATATAACTGGTACGTTTTATTTTGTAGATTATTATCCCATAAGTATTTGATTTAAAGTGTGAGCAATTATATTTTTATTAATTATTGATTTAATAATTACGTATTATCTGTACAATTAGTTGTATTATTTCTACTGTTGCGTATTATCTATTGTGATAGTATAACTGATACGTTTTATTTTGTAGATAATTTTCATATAATTATTTTTTTTAAATGTAATAATTATATTTTTTATGAATTATTTCTCATTTAAACCCTAACCCTAATATATTATATTGTAGGCTGTCTAAAAATCACAACAAATAGCTGATCCCCATCAAACACCGATGATAGAAGTTACAATTTGACGACTTCTAGAAGGTTACAATCTGATGATCTTCACAACAACCAATAAAAGCTCTAATTCAACAGCCTTCACAATCAATATCGGGAGTTACGATCTGATGACTCTCATATTTTCAAGGAGCCAAGACAAAGGTTACAAGGTGACGATCTTTGCAACACTCTAGCAAAAGAGACTACAAATTAACGGTATCTTCATATTAAAACACAGATATCTCTCAAACCGGAAGGAATTTGGCGAAATGGAGGAAGCAAACCGAACCCAATGGGGTTTGTTTGGTCGGCTCCGTCTCGTCGAGATAGCCGATTTTCATATATAATTCGTCCCATTCCGACTTACGGTTTGAAAGTTATGACCTTTTCTTCGCAGCAAGTTATGTTCTGAAGTCCGTCTGTGAGACTGCACTTTGCCTGAACATTGGACTGCCTGAAGCTCGCCAAGCCTGCCTGAGGCTCACCTCTGCATCCAATATTTAAAACGCAGAGGTCATGCCCGCGTTCTAAACTCAAAACGTAGAGGTCGTGACCGCATTTGAGATTCGAAACGCAGAGGTCATGCCCGCGTTCTAAACTCAAAACGCAGAGGTCGTGACCGTATTTGAGATTCAAAATGCAGAGGTCATGGCTACATTCCAGAGTCAAAACGTAGAGTTCGTGGACTCAAAAAGCAAAGTTCATACAGAGCCCAACTCTGCGTCTCAGGTCCAAAATGCAGAGTTCATGCAGAGCCCAACTCTGCGTCTCAGGTCCAAAACGTAAAGTTCATGCAGAGCCCAACTCAGCGTCTCAGATCAAAAACGCAGAGTTCATCTTTACGTCCCAACTCTGCGTCTCAGGTCTAAAACACAGAGTTCATCTCTGCGTCCTAACTCTGCGTCTCAGGTCTAAAACGCAGAGTTTATCTCTACGTCCCAACTCTGCATCTCAGGTCTAAAACGCAGAGTTCATCTCTACGTCCCAACTCTGCGTTTCAGATTTATAACGCAACGCGACCTGTGCGTTCAACCACCAAAATAGGCCCAACTCGGCGTTTTTAGTCTAAAAACGCAGAGTTCGGGCCCTGAACGCTATTTTTTAGCGTTTGACTCGTTCAAAGCATGAACTGAACGGTTTCTAAACCATTTTCTCCACGATTTGGGGAGCTGTTTAAGGGGGTAGTTACACCCCATTCAGCCCCACTTAGAAGTGAATTAAGGGGACGGTTATACCCCTTAATCCCCTATAAATAGTGGGAAACTCAATTGAGTTGTGGTGGAATTTTTTGGGCTAGAGATTTGGCTCTTGGATTCAGCCTTCTTTTTCATCCTTGGACTTGGCAGCAAAGAAGATCCTTCATCCTTCGGCTGGAGCTTTGGAGAACAGCAACAAGGAGCTCGTTCTTGACTATAACCGAATTTTAATTCAAATCAACTCTTTCATAGAGTTTCAAACTCGTTCAGAGTTATCAACTCGTCCAGAGTTCTAAAACTTGCCACATAAGTTCTCCACAACGTCAAATCGTGAGGAGAAGACCACGTTCCGGTGAATCAAGATATTCGGATCGTCAACGGAGAGCAAACTCGACGTGGGCATTCGAGAGAGGCACTCCATCGTCACCGTGAAGAACCCAGAATTAAACAAAGGGGAGAATCCAGATCAATTCTCCTCTCTTTTGTAATCAGGAAATTCAATTATAATCGAGATCGAGAGAATACAAATCAAATTTCTTTCATTATTTTTCTTATTACAAATTTTCCACCAAACAAAAGATGGCGACTCCGCTGGGGAGTAGCTTTTCTGACGAAGATGTGGTAACACAATCCGACGTCATGCTCATTGGAACGACCGTTAAAACTCTGATCATCGAGTTCGATCAAGCCAAGTTTGAGGAGGCCCTCTCCTCCGAGTCCCTTAACCCCAAGGCTATGCGTAAGATCCACAAAGTTTCTAAGGAAACTAAAGCTCCAGTTATGGCCGACTTATCGAAGGACTATCTTCTTTGGGGGTTGCACTGTTCATACAGTCCCCTCTCTGAAGGAGAAACTTAGCTTTGGCACAACTCCAAAAAAGCCGATCCTCCAATCAACGTGAGCTCTGCATTTGTGAGCCTCAACACGAGCTCTGTATGAGCCAAGCTAAACGCAGCCCTCAGGGGTGTGTTTCCCAAATAAAACGCAACCCTCAGAGGCGCGTTCCAACGTCAAAACGCAGACCTCAAAATTGCGTTGATCTGGCAGAACGCAACTCTCAGGAGTGCATCCCAGAACCAAAACGCAACTCTCAGGAGTGTGTTTAAGATCCAAAACACAGACTTACGAACTGCGTTAACCGACAAAAACGCAACCGGCAAAGGCGCGTTTCATCAACAAAACGCAGACGTCGGTCTAGCATTAGTAAAACAGAACACGACCCTCGTGTTTCTTTTTCAGAACACGATGTGATTCGTCGTGTTCAAAAAGATCAACGTGGATTCAAGATCCATGTTCACCAAGAGCCAGTCCTGTCCAATCATAAAACGTGGATTCAAGATCCATGTTCACCAAGAGCCAGTCCTGTCCAATCATAGACTGGGGGTTCCAATTCAAACCTCACGATCACCAAGAGCCAGTCCTGTCCAATCATAGACTGGGGGTTCCAATTCAAACCTCACGATCAGTGAGTAATTGTCGAGTCTTTACAATAGACTTGAGAGAGTTCATATCGAGAGAAAGACCGATGCAGCAAGTCATTCGTTCATTTTAATGTGAACAATTGATTCCTACGGTTCTCTCGGGATGTCAATGCTGCTCATATGCGGCCAAAACGTTGGTGTTCGACCAATTAACGAATGTTGCCTTGCCTAACCAACGACGACGTTCGTACAAGAAGAAGTCTCCAGAGACCGAATATCCTGGGGTCACTATCAATGTGATCGGCAGAGGGAAAGCCTCAGGTCCTAGTTCTGATGACTGTGAAATAAGTCGTTC